GTGATAAACAAAAGGCAAAAAAAGTCACACATTTAATGAAAACCTATCGGTACTTGGTTTAAAAGTATAAAAACAATTAAATCAATAAAATCAGTAGTCGCAAATTTACTTCACCTGGTGAACATTATCTTGCAAAGTCTACACTCAGCACAATCATGCCAAACACTTGCTATCATTCTTACGATCTCAACTTCAAGTTGAAAATCGTAGCTGAAGCTGAAGCTGTTAACAACAATCAAGAGATAGCGAGGGAATATGGAATTTCTTATTTGCTTTAAATCGTACCAATAACTGTGATAACAAAAAAATTGTTTCGGGAAAATATTTGCTGATAAGATGCACCCAAACTTTGGCAGTAATTTTTAGTAGAAATTAGGAATTTCTAGAAAAAACAGTGCGCCTTATAACTGAATAATTACGGTATATCTCCTAAACAAGCGCAGTGCCCCTTCTCTTTTATTGAATTTTTTGAAACAGACATTGGTAAGGAACATTTAGGGAAAGTTTACAAAAAATTGTCAAACAACTTCTTTTCTGAGGAATCACCTTGAAGGTAGTTAAAATTAAATCAAGTGAAATCAATTTCAGAAGTCATATGTTGTCACTCCAGTCATTTGTAATAGGCCATCTTATTATTCATCCACAACATTAGGTCATCTACTGAAAAAATTAAGCAAGAAAGTACAACGTGTACCTAGATTGAAACACTATGACTTTTAATATTCAGAGCTGTACACAGAAACTTTCTTTCTTACCTCATTCTGGAACAATTCTGTTAGAAAGGGAATGTGCCTGAAAAAGTGTTTATTGAAAAGTGTTTACCAGATGACATCTGTTCTGAACTAGATGCATATTTGCATTCACCCGGGCTTTCTGTTGGAAATAAACTTTGTTTTTTATGCTTGCATTTGCCTAAGTTTTTATGCAATTATTGATTTATCCTGTTACTGTTTTTTCTCTTGGTATGCAATCCCTAAAGAATTAGTTGACAATATAACACCAATGTCAGACCAAAATAAAAAAACACATAAGAATGGCACTGTCAGATTTAAAACTGATAATAATTGATGAAATCTCTGTGGTATCAAATACTTTGCAACTGCAAATCCATCAAAAACTAAAAGAAATATTGTCAACATCAAACAACTGTCTATTGTCAGGACTTAGCATTATTATATTAGGTGATTTGTATTAACTTCCACCAATTTGAAGAAAATTTGTCTTTCAAGAATACAAAAATGTTTACAATTTGTACCATTACTGGCTACTCTCCAAGATGATAGAGTTGACTAAAAATATGAGACAAAAGGATGACCAACCATTCACAGAGTTATTAAATAGATTCAGAACTGCTTCACAAACAGAGGGTGATATTCAATGCATTCAGTCAAGGCTAATGCATCCTGAAGATACTGATTAACCGGATCCACTTTGTATTTTTGGGCCATTTTTTCTGTATTTCCTGTTTATTTTTCATATCCCTAAATTTTTTTTTCTCCAAGAATATTTTTTTCTCTGCTGGCTCCATTGCTTTATAATATTGTTTTTTTCCTATGTTTAATCATCAATTTTTTTCTTTCCTTTCTATCAACTACTTTACATGAACATGTACCAAACAGTATTCTGTATTGCCCTAGTTAGAGTATTATATTTCTCTAGTATTTTTCTAATGGCATCAACAAGCAAAGCCATTCCATTTATGTTTTTAATTTACTGAATAGGGGACGTGTGTCTTTCATTATAAAGCAGGGGGGGAATGCATATATTTAAATCTTTTTGTGGGTTTAAAGGTACAACTGATGCAGTATGAAGAATATGATATAAAAAATCCTGTGCATTCACTATTATGTATTATTTAATTCTCAAGAATTGAATTGCTTTGAAGTGAATCAGTTAATAGTCCTTCACTCTCAAACAAATAAGTCAAATTTACTTCAGTTTCACAAACATCTAGCAGTTCTTGGAAGATTAGCTGGTGATTGCTGGTTATGTTCTAAACTTGATTTACAACACATCTTTTTGCCTTTGTCAACAATGGTGGGTAAGGATGAGTTGTAATTCCAGTAATTACATGATTTCATCATAGAGTAGCAAAGAGAGTGTAGAGCTACAGCACAACTTAGATTAAAGTTTATGGTTTCATTCAGGCTGTTTAGAGAAACCATCCTTTTTGAATATTCTCAATTTGTACTCCTCTCACTTCAAATATATCATTATGTATACTCTGAAAATAATGCACTAAACTATCAAGAGATGGTACCTCGAGAAGAACACATGTACCTTGAGGCTGCCCTCTACCATGCAAATATCTTACATGAGAATCAAATATTTTGAACCCCATATTACTATTAGTAATACACCTTACTGTTAAAATGAAATTGGTGTAGCTTTTAAATATGAGCGACTCAAAGGCTCTTGGTAAAGATGTACAGTACTGATACCCCTGTATAGCAATTTCTAGGTGAACAGTACCAGAGTAGCTTTCACTGTATTCCAGTTGATAATCAGTATCAAACACATTTAATGCTGTTGGTAATTCTGACTGCATTAATTGTTCCTGTCTGGCTAATCATGACAATGTTGAATAAAGCTGATTTCCAATATTCATTATTTGTATAAGATCATTTTCAAAGCTGATCCCTCGTGTCAGTGTAAATCAAAAAACACAAACTCGTTGCAACACATTGTTGTCCTGCATTCTGTCCAAAAACTAACTCGTTACCTTGGCTAAGGAAGCTAATATTGTTTTGTTAGGGTCAACATATGTTGGAGGGCCAGGATTTTGTCTCAACTTAATTTATAGTTGCAATAATTTGCTACGAGCTTCATTCTTGCAAGAACACATCAGTTTGTTACAAGAAAACAATTTTAAATATCGACTGGCACGATATTTTACCTTTCATATACATTGACGAATTCTTTCACGACAGTTAAACTTAAACGTCTTTTTATTTAATAGTTTTTAGCGTTAACATAGCAGTATGATGTAGATGACATGGGGATTCATTGGAGAATACGTGCATAGACAAATTTTTCTAACCTTTCTGCTCTTGTTCCTTAACCTTTTCAAACTTCGTATTGGTATTCTGCTTGGTTCACGATCACGTCTACATACACGATGAGATTTGCGTCTATGCTTCTCTCGATTAACATTAGATAGCTCAGTTGATACAGCATGTTTCTCGATGAAATGTTCGCTCATAAATGTTCGCTCATAAAGAGATATCTCATAAGGTTCACAGACCAACCCGTTCCGAAAACGCTCGACATATTTTAGTGTGGGTCTACCGCAAACGATGTGAGCATATTTTGTATGCGTTTTGAGCGTCTTATACACTGTGTCTGTGCTGATTTTGCGCGGCGAAAGCTTCTCTTCGCTCTTCGTCCGCCATTACACCATTCTGTGTGCTCACAAGTCAAGACGTCGCGCATGCGTCAGACTCAAACGATTACGCATGCGTGATGAGGACTTGACTGTGATTTGCGACCGAACGGAAAAAAAATCAAGCCGGAATTTCAACTTGGGCGTCTCCCTTGGAAAGCCCGAGTAATAAGGTACAATGCGTACCTAGATTGAAACACTATAACTTTCAATATTTGGAGCTGCATACAGAAACTTTCTTTCTTACCTCATTCTGGAAGAATTCTGTTAGAAAGGGAATGTGCCTAAATATGTATCTAGCGGAAACTGTTCACCAGATGACATAGTACAGAAGATTATTGCTGCGTAAGAAGACAAGAAACGACTCCATGTTGGAATCCAGTTTCCTCACGGCATGTTTAAGGAAAGGGTTGCACTGGACTGGATCCAGATATGTTCAGATATGTCTTCTAGCGCCCACAAGAGGAGCATGTTTAGTAAAGATTGATGAATTGATATCTCTCGCACTCTTAGGAATCTGTTTCAGTGGATTGTTACGTCGGTATCTCTCGCACTCTAAGGAATATGTTCAACTGATTGTTACGTCAGTATCTCTCGCACTCTAAGGAATATGTTCAACTGATTGTTACGTCCGGTAACTCTCGCACTCTAAGGAATATGTTCAACTGATTGTTACGTCAGTATCTCTCGCACTCTAAGGAATATGTTCAACTGATTGTTACGTCAGTAACTCTCGCACTCTAAGGAATATGTTCAACTGATTGTTACGTCAGTATCTCTCGGACTCTAAGGAATATGTTCAACTGATTGTTACGTCAGTATCTCTCGCACTCTAAGGAATATGTTCAACTGATTGTTACGTCTGTAACTCGCGGACTCTAAGGAATATGTTCAACTGATTGTTACGTCAGTAACTCTCGCACTCTAAGGAATATGTTCAACTGATTGTTACGTCAGTATCTCTCGCACTCTAAGGAATATGTTCAACTGATTGTTACGTCAGTATCTCTCGCACACTAAGGAATATGTTTAACTGATTGTTACGTCAGTAACTCGCGGACTCTAAGGAATCCGTGTCGATGGATTGCTAAGTTAGTTTCTCTTGCACTCTAAGGAATCTGTTTCAATTGATTGTTACATCAGTAACTCGCGGACTCTAAGGATTCTATTTTAGTGGATTGTTACGTCAGTATGTCTCATACTCTATGGAATCTCTTTTAATCGATTTTTACGTCAGGATCTCTTGCGCTCTCAGGAATCTTCATTACTCGTTCCTATCGTTTACGTTACCAGTAAACCAAAGTGGCTTATTGCGCCGATAGAAAGTGCGTCAATTGCTTAAGTAACTCGAGGCGGCGTGACCGAGTGGTTACAGTGGTGGTCTTGTAATCTAGTAGTCTCGGGTTCAAGTCCTCCACCCTGCCATTCACTGGATTTTTCCCCGGTCGCCCCGAGTTCAATCTCTCGGCTGCGCTGGGTAAATAGCCAACTGGTCAGCCTCCTGTCCGTTGAAATTTTCAAGCACTCTATGTTTAATTCAGTCAATGTAAAGCGCTATTCGATAGCGATAGAAATAGAGCTATACAAATAAAGTATTATTATCATTATTATTACAAAGGTGACTGATATCACTGTATGACCCATTGAGAAGCGTCCACCCGACAGCCTTCACTCCATAACATTACCAAAGAGAGTTCGAATTTCCAGTAGAACAGTTTATTTTCCTTTTTACCCATGAAGTTCATCTCTTAAATTAATAAATACTTTTCTCTCTCAAAGCATATTTTTGTCTTTAGTATGTCTTAACTTATCTTTCTATCACTATATACACCTACGTTATAGCTGGGACTATGCATAAAAATCTCGCCAGTTTGATTACTGAGCTGTTGACTATCGGATGAAGCACATGTAGAAATAAATACTGTTCATGAAAGAATCATAAATAGTCGCTTCATTAATACTTTGAAACGAACGATTTGCCGTGTTAAGATGATAAAATGTATATTTTTTTCCAAACAAGATTCCCCTTAAGCGAAATATCTTAAAAAACCTGGTTAAACTGTAGGGTTATAATATAGCACAGGGCACAATTTAGTTGCTTTCAAACGCAACTGTTTTCCCCTCACTATTGTGATTTAGCGATTTTGATACAACACACTTGATGGAATCTTTCACAAAACGTGCAAATTCAGGGAGGGGAGCAAGTTCTTGTGAGCAAGTGGCTGATTCGATGTCAAGAAAAAAAAAATTATAAAACAAATAGCCTGGAGGCTTCTCCCCATCCTCCTCCAGTTAAAACATCCTGCTTCATTCCTAGTTATATATAGTGCGGTATATATAGTTTACATCAAAGAAAGCTGAAAAAGTTAAGCTGCACATTTGTAGTTCACAGATCAGCGCGACAGAGATGTACTTGCTGAGAAGGGTAAGCAAAGAAATGATCTCCTTGTACGTATGTGTTGAGAGTAGTTTAAGACTTGTTTACTTTTAAATCTTTATGTCACTGTAAGATTCTTCAACATCGTCGAATCGTCAAGAAACGCAAAGAGCCTGATTGTCTCTAACTTCTTGCGCAGACGTTTCTGTTTGACCACCACTGGCCACTCGAGCTGCCTGCGTCCGAGATGCCACTGACCAGCAATTGCCGCTAACAAGTTTACACAGAACTCCACTAGAACCTGCTCCACAGTCGCAGAAAAACCTACAAATATGGATGAAAACATTTCTGATCATCTCAAACGTCGAAATAATCGACAGTTAACCAACTTAAAAAAAACCTTCCCAGACGGGAGTTAGATCAAATGAGAGCAGGGAAAGAGATTAACGAAAAAACCGGGAGAAGTGTACACCAACGAATTCTGTGGCTGATTTGGTTATTATAAATTCAATTCAAAATTCGTTCATGTATAATACTGGAGATTTAATCCTTGTTGCTGGATTCTCATCATTAAAAATTAGACGATGAACTGAATGATACAGCACTGCCGTTCTTTCTTATAATATATGGGAGGTCAGACGCATAGATGACGTCGACATTAACAGCATTTTGCGTTTCTATGATACAAAACAAACAGATTCCCTGTAGTCATGGCTCTGTGCAGTAATAGACCACAGAAGACGTCCGAATGTAATAGAAATATCTGTGATCACATTTTGTCATCACCTGTGATCTATAATTAATTATATAATAAGCTCAGTTATGCAAGCATTCTGATTGGTTCTCACTTATGATCTATTGGAGGACAGACGTATAGATGACGTCATCATTTAAACTTTTTTTAATTCTTTATTATATAAAACAAATAGATTCCAGGTTGCCGTGCGTCTGTTCAGTACTAGATCACAGAGGACGTCAAAATGTGGTAAGAACATCAGTGACACACTCGGCTGCGCCTCGTGTGCCACTTTTGTCGTCATCTGTGATCTATTACTGAACAGACGCACGACAACTTGGAATCTATTTGTAAAACAGACGCATGCCAAAATGGAGTCTATTTTTAAAGTGTTATGGAGTCTCAAAGGGTTTTTTTCTTGACGAAAACCTACGAAGCTTCAGTCTCTTCAACCTATCACTTATCAAACAAGAAGCAAGGATAACTGACTTCAATTAGAGGAACGAATAACAGTTTCAAAATCCAGATTTATTAAAAAAAAGTTTCCGTGTTGCTGTGCTTCTGTTCAGTGATAGATTTCAGACGACGTCAAAAAGAGGTGAAAAAGAAACGTGGCACACAAGGTGCAGCCGGGTGAGTCACTGATGTTCTTGTCTATTCAATCAGACTGTCACATATATAACTAGTGGTTTAAGTGTTGTAATACTGTACCTGTCACGTCTGACAAACTTCACGTCATGTCCTTCGTGACACCCTTTCACGCAACTGACGCAAATGGCGTAGCCATCCGACGTACCACAAGTGGTGCACCTAAGGGTTAGCATAAATACGTCAAGAGATTCATCCATATCAAGAAAGCAGTGATGACTGGTTAAGAAACCAGTCAAAGATAACATTAGAAAACAACAGCGCTGCAACGTTAACGTAAGAGCTCTCCAACTGATTGTACAAAATCTATTGAATTTGTGTTCACGCAGTGGTGACTGAATAACAGAATTCAGTTAGTTCATATGGCTTTGGAATGCTTATGACTATTTACTAACTACGTAATCGACTAAATTTATACTAAATACGGAATCTTTATTTAACAAATAGAGAAGCCTTGACTGTGCTCTGTTCTGTTATAAAGCACGCAGGAGGCGGCTAGAGCACGAAAGATGTGTAGGGAGAAACACGAGACGTAGCCGAGTGTTTCTCCCCACTTCTTGAGTGCTCTAGCCGCTTCCTAAGTGCTTTATAAAAGAACAGAGCACAGTCAAGGCTTCTCTATTTGTTTTATAATAAAGAATCCATTAAATTCCCTTAGCATTACTTTCAATTTTCAAAACAAACTTTATTTCCAAAGCGAACAACAGTGTCGTCAGCATGCTCTATACTCTCATAAAGCACGCTACAATAAGCCAATCAGAATCCCTGTTAGAATGGTTCAAATAATCTGATTGGCTGTACAAGACAAAAGCTGTCAAAAGTGTCAAAGGTATCCGCGGGTTTCGCCCATAACGAGTTTCGCCCAAGAAGCGTTTCGCCCATAACGAGAATGGTTTCGCCCAGGCATAAATTCGATTCGCCCAGACTGACAGTCAGTGATTATCCAGGCTAAGGGCCTCTTTAGACATATGCTTTAGATGAGCCCGGTAACCGGGCTTTTGTTTTCTGTTCATACAATGTTCATACACGACTTTTTAGTATTCACGAAACCGTATTCACATGTATTCATAAGCTGGCGTGCGGAACTTATCTTCCGTGTACAAAAGATTTGCAACGATGATATGTTCCACGCGCAAGTGTTTTCAAAAGCGTTTAATTTAATTCTCGAGAAGAAAAGTGATGCAAAAAAAATCATAGCAATGCTTTTACGACAAACGGACGTCTCTGCAGTATTTCGTGCGCGAATTACCTTAACAATCCCCGCTCCACAGTGAAAGCTATAATTGACTTGTTCGTTTCAACAGTAACTTGTTCGTTTCAAAATTTCATGATCTCAGGTCAAGTCACTTTTCTTCATTCTGTGCATACAAACGTTTATAAGGTTGACGTTTTCCGAGTGAGAGTGTAGAAGTTTTACTTATGGGCGAAACCTTTATTGTTCTGGGCGAAACCATTCTCGTTCTGGGCGAAACGATATGTGCGAAACTCGTTATGGGCGAAACCCGCTATAACCGTGTCAAACCATCAAAGTTCAAAAACCATCAAAGTTCACATTTACGATAGTTCACAAACTAAAATGGTTCGGCAGGTCGAATTTAACACTTTTGCCTGAAGTTTTTAAGTCTCTAATACAGAATCTTGAAGTGAAATGTTCCGTGAAATTCAGCCGAATTACGGCTCATAAAAACACGCGAATTTTTTCACATGACAAGGTAGAAAACAAACTGTTCAAGGCGAGTGTTTTTTGAATGAACGACTGCCCAATTCACCGGAACATGAAGATCGCTAGGAATGACAGCGCGGCAAAACTCGGCTGCAGTGACAGATGTGACTTTCCACTCTACGCATCGGAAAGGATATCAGAGCAAGCTCTTATTTTTTCATTCGAAGGGTGGCCGATGTAGTTTCTGAGGCTTGCTTTACTGTGATGAGCGAGCCGCGATGGACTTCAGCATGATCATATTCGCTCAGACACCGTCATGATTAGAATGAATTTTAACAGTTATGCCAGATTGGTTATATTTTTCATCATTTCTGTTTTGGTCACGTTTTGTTTTTGAACACTGAACTTTATATACTGTATGAGTGATAGCTGTGTTTGATTTTTATTTCCGTACGTAAACTTGCAATCTAACTGTGCGTGAATTAATCTTTAAAACTCGGAATGTCTATTTTGTTTTTCCTTTGAGGATTTTCGTATCTGCTCACGTTTTAATAGCGTAAATTACGGCGCCTGGTAGGTTTACAAACCTTTGTTTGGTTCTTCTGTTGCTACTTGCCGGCTTGCTTGTTCCGAAATTTCACTTTTAATTATCGGAAAAAAAGCTAAAAAGGAAGTCCCGGAAAAGATCGAACATAGTACAATTTGGCAGATGGCGTGACAGCTTTAGCTCAGCTCTATGCTCTATTTAACAATTATATAATAAGCTCAGTTATGCACGCATTCTGATTGGTTCTCACTCAAGATCTATTGGAGGAGAGACGTATAGATGACGTTATCATTAAAACTTTTTTTTTTTTTTGAGAGTTTATATCATCAGTGACACACTCGGCTGCGCCTCGTGTGCCACTTTTTTGTTCTTACCACATTTTGACGTCATCTGTCATCTATTACTGAACAGACGCACGGCAACTTGGAATCTATTTGTTTTATATAATAAAGAATTAAAATATACGGAAAAAAAAGTTTTAATGATGACATCATCTATACGTCTGTCCTCCAATAGATCATAAGTGAGAACCAATCAGAATGCGTGCATAACTGAGCTTATTATATAATTGTTAAATAGAGCATAGAGCTGAGCTAAAGGGTTAGCACACTCATAGAGCACACTCTTTCAACCAATGACAACGCGCGTTATATCTGAACTTTATTAAAATGTCTGATAGACCGCTGGACTAAGTTGCTGACTAAGTCACTATCCAGCAGAAAAACAAAAAGATTGAGGGGTAAAACGATGGGGACGGTGAGTAATATATTCTGAACTCAGCTTAGATTGGTAAATTGGTGTCTCAAAAAAACGGCAGGGCGCTAAGAGATAGAAAACGGAACATAAAATAGATCAATCAATAAAAATAAAAATAGCCCTCCAACCCATGAAGCAATTTTCGCGTATGCATTTCCTTGTTTATCTCTTTAACGAGAATTTGCTTTTTTGTCAAGATGACACCTTACGCCTTAAACGTCTGTCTTTTTTATCAGTTGTTTTCTGGAAAATGTATTGACAGTGTTAGGAAAAGTCAAATGCTTAACACCTTTGAGTATGCTTACCTGTAAAAATCGTGCATCGGATAGCATGTGTTACCAGACACTTGATACAAACAGCGACAAGACTCTATAGCTTGCTCAACTTCTCTTCTGTTACCGTGTACTTTGTTATCTGAGGGAGGGGAGAGTAGTAATTATTAGCGCCAGAGAATGTAACAGTGATAAACGGGTAGGGTAGGGGTAAGTCAAACATTATACTCACTGCTAAGTTTGGGCTCGACACCAGTGGCCAGACAAATCCCGTCAAACCGGTTATTGAAGATTTCGTTTTCTTCTAGAACTCCGCCTGAAAAAGTAGGGATGACATGATTTGTTTCAGTGTTAGTTTATGGTCAGGAGATTAAACGAGCAAGAGTTAATCCTTTGACTCCCAGACCAAATTTGTGATTCTCCTTACTGTCAACCATACAATTGTTACAATGTTTAAAGAATTTAGCATTGGATCCACTAATTATCCCCAAACTGATACTTTTCTTTAATCTCATCACCTGTCTGGTTGATATTGTCTTGATATTGTAAGGAGAAATTCTGTCTTGGTCACTCCTGAGAGTTAAAGGGTTAACTCATTTCGGGTCAATTAGAGAATCGATGAAAGTACGACGAGACCATTTTTAAGATTAATATTTTTGATGATTTGCAAATTCAAGATGAATTTTATTGCCAAAGTCAATTCTTTTCAATTTCTGAAGTGCACAGATCTAGAGAAACAAAAGTGATAACAAAAATTCACGGCTGGAGCAAAGGGAGGTGAGATTTTCTAAAGATCATTCAATAAAGAGTGCTGATAGTGAAGGAGTTATGTTGCTCACCAGCACTGTTTGTTATCTCAATTCCCGCGGCACCACCATCAAAAATACGATTGCTTTTTAACACAGGAAAACTTGCTGTACTGATAAGCACACCTGAACAATAGAGAAGTGCACAGGATCAATACATTGTTTAGTAAAAATACTGACGGACTTATTGTACACGATTCATCGAAGGTTTTGAGTGAGAGTTATTTTCAACTATTAGTCTTCAAAACTCCCGCCATCCTCTTATTCTTCTATCAGATGCCAAACTAACACCAATCACGACTAGCAAACTCGCGTTTTCTTGCCCTTAAAGAAGTTTGCTTATGTTTTTTTTTATTTGATTGGTTCTTTAAAGTACTTCCATCGCCTTTTTTTCTGATTGGTCGTTTTCAACACTTTGTTTTTGCTTTAAAACACTTGATTTCCACGAACCCTAACAGATAAACCATGTATCAGAAAAATATTTATTGCTTTAAGTAACTTCGAAAGGTAATATTCAGATTTCTGTCAAGAGAGTAAAGAAGACTGACCTATGCCAGGGAACGAACTTTTATTCAATCCAAATTTACGAGGCTTACCTGTCAAGGCATTTCTGAAGATGTCATTATTCTCCAAAACACCTGAAAAGGAATAAAATAGTAGATCAGTGACAGTGAGGTACATCAACTGTTTGTAGACAAGAGATGGCGGTCTTCCTGGGGCCCATTTCTCGAAGAACCGATTCGGGAGTTTAAGAAAACCACTATGGTAACGGCAAATTTTAATGAGCAGAACAATGGCTGTGCACGGTGTTATAAATCTTTGTACATTTCTTTGCCTCCTCTGCGAAACAACGCAAAATGACCAAACTTTGTGTTGTCTGGAGAACGTGAACGACGACGGCTAATTTCTTAAATTTCTATTTCTTATTTAACGCTGTGTTCCATATTCAATTTAGAAATAGTTTTGACAGTGAGAAACAAGCCAAACGACTTTACAGTATCGCGAGAATCGCAGGTAAAATATAAGTTCATTTTTTAACCGACTTTGTTCACGGCGTCGCCTCCGTCGTTTCTTAAACTCCCTACTAAACTAACGGGCCCGTAAAGTTGTTCTGTTTTTATATTCAAAATGGAGGTTTCGAAAAGTTGTGAGAATTAAACAGAAAAACGAGCAGCCAAAAAAACAAAATGGACTGGTCAGGTTGCCAGAGCCTCCTTCCCTTTTCAATAACTTTTGATTTCAAAATATGGCTCCGGGGCCGTTAAGTTACCAGGACATTCGAGAAACGGTCCCGGCAGGTCAGGTATTCTCGTCAACAATGATGAACTCGTTCATTTCCTTGGAGTGACTCGCAACTAACTTGTCCTTGGAACAACATGTTGTCCAGTACAAAGATAGGAGAATAGAAAAACGGAGAAGCTTGAAAGTTTCATTTCTACCACTAAGTTTACAAAGAAATGTGTTGCACATAAGAGGGAGAAATAATTAAGATATAAAAGGTTAAATTAGCCGTGGTATGTCGAAAGGGTTTAAGGACACAATTCCAGCCCCGATGGATTCCTAACTCTACACGGCATGTTCCGGGATTTACGTAGGAGTTCCAAGCCTTACCTTTTCCATGGTTGAACACACACACCCCTCCCTCCCGACCGTCGTGAATCTTGTTTCTCCTGAGGACTGGGTTACTCTCAGTCTTGATCCAGACTCCTGCCATCGCGTTGTCGAAAATCTCATTTTCTTCCAACAGACCAAGACCTTGAATAAAGAATGAAAAAACGACTAAAGCCAAAGTTTTTTGTTTGTTTCTTTGTTTCTGATTTAAGGCATAATAAATAAATAACTGAAGGACGGCGATATGAATTGCTCAGAGCCAAGGCATAGTGTGATAATTTTGTAAATACTCTACCTCCGTTGTAGGCCAGAACGCCACCATTCTGTCCTCCCCAAATCTTATTTCTTCTGATACAGGGATTGCTGCCCGATCTACAGCAAGGAAAGAGCACAAGACATTTCATGACAAGTACACGAGGTTAGTAAAATAGAAAGCTCGTTTGAAGCGAGAGCTGGTTTATCTCGCAGTTGGCCTAAAGGATCAGTTGATTTAAGCGTCATACAGGCGTGTGAGGCCATGAGTTCGAATCCGGTGCAAGTATGATCACATTTACTCAAACGATCCCTAGGAGGTCCAAATTGAAAATTTGGATCCGTTCAGGTTTAGACACCAAGTGCCATCAAGGCTCTAATGCGCATAAGTGCTACGTTTCTTTTATTTATTTATTTATTTATTTTTTCGATTTGCAAGCTTCAAGAACCAATCGACAAGCTCGAAATGGATATTATTTCTCAAATCCTTTCAAATTACATTTCACAAGTTCTTCACATGCATACGAATTTATAGTTGAAACACATAAGAAATCTTACGAGCGCAAGCGCCTTGTTATACGCAGATAGGCGTTTGCTCCATATACACAACTATTACAGTTTTGAAAAGAGTATGGAAAAGATGATCAACATTGGGTTCTGTCGTCGATCGAAGAAAGATGTCATTTTGTGTCTCTATTATTGTTGTTATCTTTACCTTATTTGTATTCCTGAATATTTGTGATTAAAGATTTCGTTTTCCTCGAGAATTCCACATCCTCCATCATAGAAGTACACTCCAACCTGGAAGACAACCGAATGTAAGTTCCTTAGGCCGTTTAAAGCTTGCTTCTTTGAGCTTTGCCCGAAGTCAGGCTTCCAAGTATGAGTGGGACAAATAACTGAGGAACAGAAGGGGGGGAAGGAGGAGAATCCCTGTCCCCACTGAAGAGCCATGTCAGCTGTCTAACCGAATGCTCCTTCATTGACAAACTCGCCTAAGGTTTCCTTCCATAACGTTTTGACGCCTTACTAATATATGGAGAATCGTAGCCTATATACTTCACAACATGCAAAAAGGCAACTATAGTTTGAGTTGCTTGCAGTTTTGTCAGCGTCCACACTCGCATAATATTATTTTCGAATTTTCTTTAAGGTAAGGTACCCCAACCTACTTCAGAGGAGCAGTGTATTTCGAATAAGTTATTAGCGACAGTAACAATAAAAAAAAATGGCTCAGAACGTAATACATCGGCTGGAAAGGCAGACTGGACACTTGACGGAGACAAGTTTATCACCTTAGTGACACTGGCATTATAAATTTATATAGAAGTGAGTTTAACAACAATGGGGAAAAGCTTAAAGTGAATAAATTTCTCAAAAATAAGATTTAAAAGTTTGCTTTTAAACACTTTGCCTTTTAAAAACATTTACGGGACATTTAAGAATTAACGTTTCATTTTAAATGATGTAACTTGATTGTAACAAGCTTCAGCAATTTTTTTAAAATTGAAACTTAGTTTAAAAGTTATGAAGCCATCATAGTAAGGTCAGTCAAACGACATGTTTGATAAACGAATAGAAATAAAATTAGTTTAGAGGATAATGTAGGCAAGTTAATTTGATACTTTTTTAATTTAAGATAAGCCTTTCATTTAATAATTACGGTGCACTTTTTATGTTTACTTAGTTTAAAACTTGGGACGTGTTTTACAATTTCAAACCGACCAAACCGGTTAAACTCGATTTAGCTTTGTGCTTTAACCTCAAGTGCAGTTGTTTGTCCCCAGTCCTAGGATGTGCGTCAATTTCTGAAAAACAAAACGGTTGTTCGTTATGGCTGAATTTTGTCTCTCCGTGTCCTTTGGTTATTTAAGGTGCAGAGTGTTAACGTTACACAGAATTGTTTGCTTGTTATGTCCAGTTTAGGTACGCTCAGCTGCAAGCTAAAACGTAGAGAGAGTGCATAAGCTCCCAAGGGAGTTTACCAAGACAAATATTGTTTCTATTCATTTAGATTCAATATCAGTTTCATCTAATTTGAACATTCGAAATTATCTCTTAATTATGTTGGTTTCAATTGTTCAGAGCAAGATTAAGAAAATCCTAAATAATAGCAATTTTTAATAAAGTTGTCTTTTAAACATTTAATGGCATTACCGTCGGAAAACTTTACTCTATTGATGAATGTAGCTAATGTTGACGAGTTCTACCTGTTTTCCACTGTGGATCCTGTTGTTTCTAAGCGTAGGTGTGCTTCCTAAGCACAAGGAAAGGCAAAGAAGAACATCAATGATGGAGACTTAAGGATGGTTTCCATGTAGGCATTATTTTCATTGCAGTGTTTTAAGAATACTTTCCAATTAAAATTCATCAGTCTTCACCAAGTTATAGGATAAAATAAAGTATTCCGAACTAAGTCTTCCATGACCTATTTCATTAAGTCAGCAAGATGTGGGTGTAACCACCCCCCACCCACAAAAATAAATTTTGCAGCACCTCTCCTCCCCCAGCGTACTTTTCCAGTCTAATTGTTTATACCTGTGGTTATCCACACACCAGCCAGGGTGTTATTGTTGATTTCGTTGTCCTCTATGAGTCCCATACCTTCTTCGTGCTGAGAATAAAAACGACAAGATTCCTCGTGAGAGAAGCCGGTAAATCTGATGCAGAATCGCTGTTTTAGTCATAGCGGCACACAAAAGGAGAAAATACCCATTTTTTTTCGTGGTTCAGAAATGCAAGTGTGCACATCCTGGGTGAAGAGTATCTAGGGGATCTTTGTTGAGTTATTTTGATAGGGATACGCAGCGATACAAAATATCTGTTTGGGTATTAAAAAAAACCCGAAGAAGGCAATACTAGAACAAGAAGAACAAGTGTAACAAAGGATGGAGAAGATTAACACGGATTGCCAAAGACAAACTCGCGGAACAGGGCACAAACGTAGAATTATGAATGATTTTTGATTAGTTCTTTGAGAACATAACTCACAGATGACGTCAATTTGTAATAAGAACAACAAAGTCGCACACGAGAAGCAGCCGAGTGTGCCACCGACGTTCTCATCACATCTTGACATCTTCTGCGATCTATTACTGTACAGAAGCACAGCAACTTAAATCTATTTCTTTCTTATGATAACAAACAAAATGCCGTATATTGTGACGTCATCTTTGCGTCTCTTTTCCAATAGGTGATACGTAAGACCCAATAAAAAAGCGAGTACAATTCAGCTCATCATGTAATACAATATCAATAGTTTCCTGCACTGGCCTTTTGTAAATACTTACCACATAAATTCCTCCGTGAAGTCCGCTGTGTATTCTATTGCAGCGAACAATAGGATTACTCTTAGTTCTGATCTGGATTCCGGCCAGCGCATTGTCTGAATGGGGAAAAAACCAAAGAACACCTTGATAAGTTACCGAAGAAGTTTCACAAAATCCGTCATATGAATTGTTGTAGTATCAAGAGTTTTACAAAACTGCACTGGTTTCCCTTTGCTGCGCGCTGTGATTGGTCGTTAAAACTCATGCCATCCTCAGCGAATGAGACACAAAATCATGACTTGATCGCTCGCGTTATCACGCACTTCAAGTAAGTTGAGTTTGTTTTGGGATAAATGTCAATACCTGACAGCACACATACCCCTCCCCTAACAGTCAACTGATAACAAGTCAGGGTTACTGTTGGGTTAGGGGAGGGGTAGGTATGCAGTTGCTCAGATACTGACATTGATCCATGTTTTCTTTCAGGTCCAATTGACTGTCGTAGTTAATTTTGCTTATGTTGTACTTAATCGAGAAAACTCTGGCACAAAGGATTACTTGAACAATCTGTTTGACAAACTTGAAGAAAGGACTAAGAGACAAAATTAATACAAACCATGAATGTTATTTCCTTCAATCAATCCTTTTCCTTCGCCGAATACATAAACTCCTACAAAAGACAAACGAGACCATAATGCTTTCGTAGGATTTTTATCAATCACGTCGAATAAAGGTAGCTTGGATTTAAAGAGAAATCTTGATTAAGTTCCCAGTTCACCACAATGGCGCTAAAGAAACATGATGGCGATTAACTTTTATTTGCATGTTTTCAGTGCAGTTATATCGAGTTTCGTAATGTTCTTAATCATGTCAATTTCATGGTGTATTGATGAGCGCGATCACGGAAAAAAACAGTAACGACCATAACAAAGCAATTCAGATACAAAAAGTGTCGCTCACCTCCTTGTTGTCCATCGTAGATCTCGTTGTTTCTAAAATACAATAAATTAAAGTAGTTAGCAAGTTTACTTCGCACTTAAGCTGAAAATGAACCGTAATCTTGTCAAGGAGAAGCTAGAAGCGAAATGGTAAACCTCTCATACTGCACAACGAAGAGCTAACCATGCCGGAGTTTGTGCAGAGTTTGCAAAAAATAGCAAAATCACAGATTAAATAGTTGCTTTTCAAGAAATTGAGGTAATGCCAAGTGCAGCCTGTGAGCATGCGCTCACCATAAGCACTTCGGGACGGACGTTTCTTCACTCGTGGGATAGTATATGAGGCCTTGAGCAATGCAGCTCAACTAGATTTCTGCCAGGGGTCTGGCACTGAAAATGCTCATCATTAGTGCCAGACCTCCGCCAAACCTTACCGATATTCGTCTCATATGTTCCCGCGGGCGGAGAAATGCGCGGTCTGCAGCGCTATTACGAGGACCTTCTCGCAGGCTACGCCAAGTGCAGAAGGCACTTCCTTCAAGGTGTACTCATGATGAGTGCGCACCTACTTTAGACAAATTTTCCCCGGCATTGAATATTGACAAGTTTTGCGTGCGAAGTTTTTTTTAATCCAAAAGACGTGAGAGATTTCGAACAAGGAGACTCATGAAGAAATTTTGCAATCTAATAAACAGAAGAACACGAAAATCTTCCTTACTTTATGGTTGGATTGCTCTGTGATGTGATCCAAACTCCAGCGTATGTGTTAGAATATATCTTATTTTCCAGGAATTCACCACGCGCCTGTTAGTTAAATATACACCATTAAGTTTTTAAAACACACAAATACATTTGCAATGTAAATGAAACAAAGTGTACTTACATCGTCATGACAGTATATGCCACCCGTCATACCGTGGTGTATTTTACATCCCACGACTGTTGGATTGGCGTGTGACCGAATCTCAAATCCGGCTATACGGTTGTTGTAAACATCGTTTCCTTCATAGTAGCCCTGCAATTACAAGAACTATTTTATTAGTCTGTAGTGTGACAAACAGCAGCCCTTTAAAACGGCCGAAGATGAGGAACTGCTCGAGGCGCATCCAGGAGCAATTGTAGATTCTTTAATGAAAGCTCAAAATAAATGTTCTTCAATTTTTTTAGGGCTCTTAGCTTGACAAAAGCCGAAAACCTGAAGAAGAGTTAGTATATACTAGTAGAGGAAGTTTCAGGTGTACTGCTTACACATTTCTTCGCTAGTTTTTTCCCACAAACAAGAACGCTTGACAAAAGCGAAAAAACTGGAAGCAAAATGCCACCGCGCAAACACCATGTGGAGCAAAATGTCACGGCCGTTCACACGGCCGTGCCTCTCAAGAATTATATGATAAGCTGTTTTGTACACCAAGTTTGATTGGTTCTAACTTATGATCTATTGCACAGCGTCTCGTGTGCCTTTCTTACCACATTTTCACGTCATCTGTGAAGTAATACTAAACAGACCCACTTGTCTTATATGATAAAAAGGCAAAATGTAATTTATGGTGATGTCATCTATGCGTCTGTCCTCAATAGATCATACCAAGAGAATATTATCTTGATCATACGTAAGAACCGATCAAATGCGTGCGTAATTCTGCTTATCTTAAAAAGAGATGTAGACCAAGATGGTTCAATAAGACCTAAAGACCGCGCGCTATGTCATTATATGGGATGTTGAATGACAGAGATATTAAAATATTGAAATAGTCTGCGAAAAAACTCACCAATCCATAATCGAAGATAAAGAAGCCGACATCTCTGCCATGATGCACTTTATTCCTTCTCATGATAGGACTGGCATGATTCCGTACCCACACCCCTGCCAACTTGATGTTTGTAATCTCGCAGTCTTCATACGTTCCCTGTGAAACAGTTACAATCAAAAGTGTAAAGGCATGTTCAGCTTTCTCTTTTTCTTCTACCAGTAGACAACGGCCCAGTAGTTCGCGTGCTAGCTTGAGAGGTCTAAGCACAAGCCTTGGCTGGGTCATTACAGTAAGGTCCCAGTGCCTACTCTTACATGGTCTTTTCCACTCAGTAGTATTGATAAAGACCACGCAAACTGTCAGGAAAACTCGTCAAAATGATGTAGTGGGGGTCTCCAATACGATATCGTAACAGGGTAAGTCATGAATGATTTTGTCAATTCATTTCCTGCTCTGCCGTACGGGGCAAAAGCTCTGGCATGAAATCCCTTATGTCTTTTGATGACCCACACTTGAGTACACTCCACGGACTAGTGTTAAACGATAAAAATAGAACTATATTTAACCTGAAATATTGTAAGGGTTTCCATATATTGGTGTTGGGAAAAAGAATGGAAATATTATATTACTTTAAGCCATTCGATACAAAAAATTATAACAGGTTGATTATTTTTCACCTAAGTACAATTTTTTCTTTTCTTATTGCGGTTGTGAATTTGGTACGGAAACAGTTGCTCCGTTTCTACGGTGATTAGATCTTGTTGTACTATTTTGTGATAAACTATGTTTTTAATTATGTCAATTTTCTAGTTGTAAATCTCTCTGGTAAAAGTTAACCTCGCACAGGAATTCCTGGAAACTCCTGCTTCTTATACTATTGATTACTATCAGAATGGTTTTTTTTGGTCAAATTCTAAGTCAAATTCACGATTCCAGAATATTTCTTAAACTTTAAGTTAACACCTTCAACACCTCTTCTTAAAAAGGTGACTCTGATTGTAAATAGCTTATGCTTTTTCATCTCCGCACTGAATTTGTAATTATATAACTTATTCGAATAGTTTTCTTAGGGGCGGTACCTTGGGTACACCCCTTCTTCTCCGAATTTCTGTTGACTCTGTTGTTATATAACAATCTTCTAAGGCTATTTTCTCGTAAACTATCTTTTCCAGCGTAATTTCAATTCTACCAAAAGGTTAATTATAATTTTTATATTATCAATCTTGTCTTCGTTCTGCCCGATCTTAACCGTAAAATTAAGAAATTTAAGGTAGAAGATGATTTTGTGATTGCGTAAACAATTCGAAGGTGCATACTAAGTATGCAGGAACTGTCGTACGTACTCTAACGTGATTCGCTGGCTGAAACGGAGCGATCGCGATGTAAGAAGATTGACAGCTTAGAAGCGTCATTTTTGGTGTCACCTTTATAAGCTGGTGCACAGCATTTCTCAATGAGAGAATATAGCAAAGCAGAACAGTATGGACTTATGTCGAAAGAAATAGGTTGAACGGTGGTGAATAAGATCAATACTGGGCTGGTTTCCGAGAGTAATAATTGTACCAGGAGTTCAAACCGGAAATAAAGAAAATTCAACCGAGTGTTAAGGAGTAATTCTTCTAACACCAGTTATTCAAACAAAGTTCAGCCATTGTTTAATAAAACCGCGTTCTTAGCTATCTTCAATTTAGCCAAAAGAGGGCCGAAAGCTGTTAGTGGAAGGACACTTAGTTCATTTAATCAACCCCCCTATAGAGAATACCTGAGGCCCACTGCTTACGTAAAACCGCGGCTTGGGTTAGACCACGGGACGGGGTGAATAACTGGCCCCATAAGTCTTCAGCAAGGAAAGGGGTTCAGGAATTTGATGTAAATTTTGGATTATTTCTCACCTGCGCATCATCTGTGATGAAAATGCCAACATTTTCTGAGTCTGAGATAAAACATTTTGACAAAATCGGTCTGGCTCCTCTTCCATGTACATAAACTGTGGCACCAGCTATGAACAAAAATAAAATCAACTGTCCACTGATTCCCACATATTACTGACATTACTACAAGTTTGTTTGAACTTTAAAAAAAAAAAAATTATAAATATGACGTCTAAATGACGTCTAATGTCTCTCTCTTACCACTAGCAAGGCTATTAAGCTTGCAGTTGTAGATTGTAGGACCACAGTCATCAACAACCTCCACACATCCTGATCTGATCACCTCAGATTCACCGTTTGGGCAATTCTGTGAACAAGGAAGTCCATCGAAATGAAAAAAGGGGGGTAAGTTTTCCAAGAAACAGCGAGAGGTCTGCAAGGGGTCTGGCACTGATCATTCTTAGTGCCAGACCCCCCAAAAAAACCTCTCCCGACTCGTCTCAAATCTTCCAGCGGCAAAAAATACGCGTAATGCAGTGCTATTAATTTTTGTGCTAAGTCTAGCCAAGATTTTAAAAATTTCGTTTTTTTGCTATTTAGTTAGAGAAAGTAGTTAAGTTTAATTACCAAAAAAATTTTAAAATCTTATGAAGAACGCGAAATACGGCTGAAAGAGTGTTTCAGGGTAACTAGCACCCAAGAGCGAAAGGTGTCATAACAGGAAAGACCTCCGGCAGAGTGTTGACTTTTTTTCGCGGGCTCTCGTCTGGGATCTTGATTTGCATATTAATTCGTGTTCCCAGTTTCGCAAAATGACCTTTTCCGCGAATTTCAAGAGTTCCTTGTCACGAGATTTACCAAGGGGTTCGATGTTGGGTTTCATTCGTCGGCGGCATAACCGCATGGACACGCGCGTAAATGAGGTGCGAAAACTGTGAATTTCTTAGGAGGCCGAAAATTCGAGATTTGTTTTTACGCGAACTGCCTCTACTTGAACGAACCAAAAAAGGAGTGTAGATTTGATAAATTATCGTGAGAATCGGCCGGAGTATTTGTCAGATATAAACCCACAAAAGAGTTGAGTTTAAAGGTTCGCGCGCGCTTACCAAAATCAAAACTTCGAAAAATGTTACTTCCGCAATCCATACTTAAAAAGCTTTACAGTCATATATAGTTTTCCATGGTTTCTTTAAAAGTAGCGCGCGTAGTGCGATTTTTCCGTAAGGTTCCCTATTCTTTTGACATTACCCCTTGGAGCAGTTTTCTGTACATACTTTCAAGGTAACATGCCCAAGGAAAGAGCTGCCTGAACCAGCAATAAAACTAACAACTGTTGAAGAGTCACACTGAATGACGACAGGATCATCTTTGCTCTTAGCTGTCGATAAAAAAAGAAGCCATCCCGTGAGCAAGTCGCTCATTTCTGGTTAAAATGTTAACCGAAACTTAACTTTTCGTGATGTCTTGTCTGTCTTAGGATGTGGAGATGAAAAACAGTCATTTAATAATCATAAATGTATCATGACAAGCATGATCCATAATTCAGAACCTTGCCTTGGAAGACACTTCATGCCTTCCTTCAAAATCCAAGTTATACGCCCTGGATCCTAAAGATGTCACATGCAGGTTTGGATGAGCTCAATGAGGAAAATGGAAAAAGAATCGAACAACAAAATGGAAAGGGGGAAGCAAGTAGTGACAGTTATCATGAAAATCCCTTATCATTGATGTTGAAAGACACACACTTAGTCTAAAGAGGCTCCTTATATGCAAACTGGGGAGCGAGGGGGGGAGGGTAGTGTGAAACCCACAGGATGTAAATTTCCTTTCCCTACATTGACAGTGGCTGCCTGCAAAACAGGGAGGGAACAGTTTTGGATTGGCAAGTCAGTAGGAAGTTCAAATGATGAATTAAAATGCAGCTCGAACTGATGACACACTTTACATTGTAAGTTAAAGATCAACGTAGAGACCACCGAAGATGACACTCTAATTAGTGACAGACTTTTCACTGCAAGTTAAAGATTAATTTAGAGACCACTTGAGAGAAATATGAAACATTTACTATGCTTCTAGAAATAATTTAGTAAAATTATAGTGTACCTGCTCCAATGATTGCAACAGGCTTGCTGATTGACAGCTGTTCATCATACACACCACTGTGTACAATTATGACCCCATCATCTTGTACAGCATCCAAAGCTTCTTTGATTGTTTCGTGATACTAAAAACAGAGAGAGTATAAAATATGCAGGTTGTCAACATATTCATACCCCATAAACCATCTCATTATTGGTTCTGATCTCTCAGAAAAGACAAAGGGACATTGTAAAAACTTTCTGCATCACCCAACAGTGCACATGAGAACATTTATGTGGATTTTACTAGATTCTAGGAGCACTATGGAAATTATTCTGACTGAATTATTTGCAAACAAAAGAAATATGTTCTTGGCAACTCAAATGATCAAAGAGGAAAATTTTTAAACAACTGGGTAAAAAAATAATAAATACAGTAGTTACCAATGAAAAAAGTTTGAAATTTATCTGTAATTGTTGTGTAAAATATCTAATAAAAAAGATTGCATTTTACCATTCAATATATCATAAATTTTAAATTAAAATCTTCTGAGATACCACAAATGTGGTAAAAACATCATGGCATTTAATTTAAATTTCTCTGTAATTGTTGTGTAAAATATCTAACAAAAAAAGATTGCAATTTACCATTCAATATATTGTATATTTTCAATTAAAATCTTCTAGGTTACCACAAATGTGGTAAAAATATCATGGCCTTAACACTTTGACCCTTAGGAGTGACCAGCATCTAATTCCTCCATACAATATCACCCTCAAATCCCAAATTAAGGTCATGAGAATAAATGAAATGATCACCAACTAAGCGAGCGCTTGATTGTTAAAAAAATTTTCCTTGTCAGCACAGGATGAAATGTATAGAGGACAGTATGGAGAATATGCATGCTGATGTTAGGGTGTAAAGGGTTAATACCCCCCCCCTGCTCATAAAAAAGTGACATGTTTGAATCACCAAATGAATATTGTTTAAATTTACTTTTTATATTAAAGCCAGCTTACATTAATTTTTCTTCCTGTGTATTGTAGTGGATTTAATTTCTTCTGTTTTGCGGTGGTAGGATGAACATGATGGGCATGATAAAGTGTACGGAAGCTTCTTTTCCAGGACAAGTCATTTTCAGGTTCTTGTTTAACATAGACACCTTCAGAAGTCTTTATCATAATGTTTGCCATCTCAAATACTTGACTATAGAGGGATCGCCTGTATTGACATTAAAGACAAATTAGTTAAGTGATGAAAGAGAAATGAAAAATCTCAGTCTTGCTTCCATCATGTGGCTTCATAGCTTGCATGTTAGTTTGAGAGGCACCCACTTAGAAACTTGGAGGTAAAGACTAGAATCCTGTTAAAGCCTGAAGGTCAGTCAAAATCTGACTCACTTTCAGGACTAATGGTCTTCTATACATTCACACAACACGATCAACAATGTTCCACTGAATAATTCCCCAGATACTTACCATAAACAGCCATCCTGGCAAATGGCACTAAGTCTGTTACATGTTTGTGCCATACTGCAAAGGTCTCCCTCTTGAAGATAGGAACATATCTGAAGCAGAACCTCATCAGGAACAGCTTTGATATAGCAGTTTGAAACAACTGCAAATTAAAAATGGCATGTAAGAGATATTGTGGACCTCAAGGTTCAAAAGAAGTCAGTTGAGAGGTAACCAGTCACCTCCCCATCAATAAAGTCACCACCATAAGACCACCTTGCCACCAACCATTTGTTGCCACCCAGCAAAGTCACCTTGCCACCAACCACAAACAAAGAGATTAACTAGTTCACTAGTTGATTATATTCAGCCATTTAAGCTTGTAGTTTGTCGCAGTTGAAATCAATAAACTAGTAAAGTAGCCAATTATATTTAGCTATACACGTTGAATCTATGCTCATTTAAGTAGATTTGATTTGATATGCATTTAACCACCATTCATAGGAAAGCTGTGAAGGTCAGTCAAAATCTTTACACTTAGAGTTTGCAGTTTCCACCTGCAAACTATAAGTTTAAAGATACCTTTGACTGGTAACCAAAGTGATTGGTAACCAGTCGAGATGCTGCAGGGAGGTATTTTACCTTCTCATTCCCAGGATCTAAATAACAGTTCTTCACAATGTCTTCCATAATTCTTATGACTTTAGAAAAATTAAAGATATTTAAGTAGAAATTCCATTTTGATCCCTTCTGGGGTAAAGGGTCATAGTGGAAAGATAACATGTGCGTCACTCGATCGGTACGCTACTAAATCCATGCTGAGTTTGTGTCATTCCTGAAATAATACGCTTAAAATCTTGCTCTACTTAGGGCTACAAAACTTTTGCACATCCGAAGCGATATCTTCGTGCCTCTCGACTTGAGTTTACAACTCAATGATGCCAACACGTTTCCATTCAAATATTTCGTGACAGCAATTACAATATTGAGTCAAAGGGCACGTGGAAGCTCGATCAACAAAGACGCTGTGAATGAAAGACCATTAACAAAGACATACGCTCACAAAAAGAAACAGCTCATTTCAAATGTTCATTGGAAAAAAATTAGAACTATCGTAAGACGGCAATGCCTTGCATACCTTTCTGGGATGAAGATCGCTGATTAACGGAACTTGTAAGTTTACACAACCTCTTTCGATTGGGGATTTGAGTTTTGTCAAGATTTCGTGTAAACCGGGGTAGGATCGACTGCAATTAATTCAAAGAAGACATAAAAAAAAAAACATTAAATTTTCACTTTCGATCCGGTATCATTAGTATAAAAAACCGTTTTAAATTATTCTTTAGCCAAGTGACGCCGACTTGTGCATAGAACAAAGAAGTGAGAAAAAAATTATGGTTAATCGATAGATTCGTAAAACACATGTCCGATAATTTTCACCGACCTCCTCTCTTTCCACGCGATTATATTTTTTATCCATCGAAGTATGATCAGTGCTGCATTTTCTTCTTGGCCTGTCCCTCTCTTTAAAGCGAAACAAAGAGCAAGGTTAGACAAAGTAAAGTAAAACCTGCCGTTACGATTAAGCCAACAGTGCTAGGCAAACACTACCGATTTGAAAGCCGATCACTAGAATTTCTTACTCAAACAGCCTCGCAAGTTCGAAGAACATGTCTTAGATTTCCGGTAATACTCTGTGCAAAGCCTTGTCCTTTTCGAAGAAGACATCACCTTAGGTTTTCTCAAAAGCAAACGGACCCAGCTGTTTGCTTTGTCGTAAAAAACGGGATTGTTTTCATGTGAAGGAAATGACGAACCTTCTTTCAACTCTCTGAGCCAATCAGATCTCACGAAAGACAAAGGTGTGAGTTTCGTCCAATAGGGTTACGGCTTCCAATGTCAATGGAACGAAATTCAAATGCAGATAGAAATGCGATAGAGGTGCTGAGAATGAACGAAAAAATTAGAGGATACGACCTTAATTGAAAAAAAAAAAAAAAGAAAAAAATACCGAGGCGTAATGTTGCCTTTATTTCACAATTTTCTTTCATTCAAGACTTTTGTGATACAGTTTGATCAAACGCGCTCTACCGCTTTGCAGACAAGTTCGGCCGTATTTTCACATCTTCGGGGCTTCTGCCTAAACCTGTCGAAATCCTTACTTAAGCCCCATTTTGAATTGTTTGGGTTTGCGTGGACGAATACCCTCACGGCAGTACCTCACTGGGAAGTTAACTCAACAATAGAGATCCACATTTGAACGAAATAACCTTGAAAATGATAGACCTTGACCTTAAAAAAATGCTCTATCTGCCAACCTATGTTTTCACTATTGTCTAACCGACTCATTTATAACTCACTCCAGTCACTCTCTCTCTCGTTCGTTCATTGATTCATTCATAATTCATTTTTCTTCTATACATCATATCTCTATCCTATCCTGTACAAGGGTCAAGGCCGAGACTAAACTCATCAACAAAGTGATATGCCAAAACATTTCAAATGTCGCCGCATTAGAAACTGAAATGAGAATACATACTGGCACTTTTTTAATTGTGAATCCGGGGAAATTAATTACAAAGAAAAACATTTTGTTTAATTGTTTGACGTAATGGTTTCAGGGTGAGACACCGCAAACCGAGGGTGTCGAGACTGACCGCAAGCAAGCTAGAATGACAAACCACAATAATTTTTTTCCACGCTTTAATTACCGTTAAACTACCTGTAATCTGGCATATTTTCTTTCTTTTGGCAAGTTTCCTGGGTTTTGTTGATGGAAATCTTAAAACGCAAGTTTATTAGCAAGGAAATATCAAGTGAAGACCTGAAAGAAATGAAACTTGCCGCTGACTGTATACATATATTACTCTCCCTTAGAACAATCATTATTTTTTTTCTATAAGAGTAAATTCAGCTATATTTTTACTCTAGATTTGCTTGTAGCCGGCTCTGTTAGTTCCTGGACTATGCTTCCGATCAGCTTCTGCATAACTTTAACTCGCCCTGATAACTGAGGGCCTGGAACTGGCTACCGTGAAAAATCCCCCAGTATTACCATTAACAGGGTTTGATTGAATGTCTATCAGAAACAGAGAACTGAAAAAACTGAATTTTCTATAGGATTCAAGTATTTGCTAACTTGTAGACTCAATGTGCTACATTTGATGTCGAAAAACATCGGTTTAAGCCGTGTTTCACAAGACAGCTTTCAAAAAACGTGTTTAAACTTTGGTGTGAATAGGGTATTATTCATGGAAGTTACTCTCCTACGACCACTTATGCTACATAAAAAGGCGACTAGAGACATACGGAAATCGCCAGAACATGTTACGGAAGCTGCAAACCCATCGGTTTGTCGGTGTGCTAAGGTGAGTACCCACCTGTTCTGAACTAAAGAGTACGAACTGAAAGTGATTATTTTACCTGGATCATTCCCATTCTGATTACGTAAATTCTTCATTAGAAGCCATTTTCCATTGTGCAACCTTCATGTCAGCGCCAAGTACATGATACATGTCTACATGATCCCTATTGACACAAGTCAGCGTAGCATTTATCAAACTTCAAAATAGAAATACTCGCTCAAAAAAAATCTAAACAAACAACAATAACAAAGACAACAACAGCCAGAAAAAAAATTATGTCTAAATTTGCCCAGCAATTTTTACTTCCATTTTCGAGTCACTTCGTTTTGTTTAAATCTTATCCTTATGTGCAAGAGTATGCAAGGAAGCCTTCATTATCAACGCTGCGACAAAAGCGTTTTTCAGCCCGCGGGAAAGTCTGCGTCCTTGAGTAAGGCAGGCCGGCCAGGGGTCTGTTGGGAGTCTGACACAAATAATGAAACCTCTCTCTCTCTCGTCTCCAATCTTCCCGTGGGCAAAGAAATGCGCGTCCTGCAACACTACTGACGAGGACTTGCTCGCAGGCCATTGACTTCAAAGGGCAAAACCGATTCCACCGTTCTCTTGTGGAGATCGACCGCTGGCATTCTCCAGAGTTACTGAGATATCTTGCAAAAGTGCGTCAATTCTGAGCTGAAGGTCTCTACTTTGCATTTCTATAAACGAATGTTCATCCTTTAAGTTTACAAGACACTCTTTCACTTTTATAAGATCGTATCGACAGTAGTTCATTACAGAGCACTGCTCCTGTTCTTCTAGAAAGCGGATAGACCTGCTCCAATCCTGAAATACAGAGATTTCTGAGCCTGTTTCTGTGGAACGCGCTTGACTGTCCATGTCTTTGAGTTCTCTTGGCGTACCTGTCTTCTTTTCTTGAATGGTCCTTAATCTTTGTCTGGCTATCAAGTCAAGAAACTCTACGAATTCTTCATAATTTATTCCACAACTTGCTCGTAGAATCACCTGAACGAACAAAACAAACCTGTAACCAAAAGTCTTAGCTTAAAGCGACAGTTGTATCCAAACATTAGCTTTCATATTCTCCACACTGTTCTCTTAAAATTGCTATGTTACTAACAGGGAGAATTTGTTTGACAATCAGGAGCTTCTTAAACTGAGTGATCTTTTCCTTTATTCTCATGACCATAACTTTGGATTCAAGGGTGATCCTGTAAGGAGAAATTAGAAGCCAGACACTCTTAGGGGTTCAAGGGTTAAACCAGCTTCCCCATTACCCGTCTTCAGCAATGTTTTTGAACGCTTAGAGTAGAAAACAGGAGGCTCTGCGAACAAGGCTGATTAAGTTTACGAGAAATATGAACGACAAATTTCTACCAACTTATGTCTAACCATATAAAATAACAGTTCTGTGCGTCAAACCAAGGTTTTTAATGATGAAATCCAAACACACAAGAATAGAAACAGAGCGACCTTGTTTCCAATTCAGATAAACAAATGAATAAAGGGGATAAGCTTCTCTACAAACTGTGGTGCTGTGTCAGTAGGGGGTATAACAAGATAGTTTGGTTGGTAAAGAGTTTATAAAGCCGACGTTTCGGGTGTTAGCCCTTCGTCAGAGCGAAACAAATACCTGGTGAAGGAGAAGGCGGAGAGGAGTCTTGCATCTTGTTAAGAAGTCAACCCAGCTTGCATGATGCGCATAATCAATACGCACGTCCTGGGTATTTATAATTGTGTCAGCTCGCCAGCAAATTGCACGAACGATCATTGTGTGTGCGGGTGGTAGTATTTGATGGAAGATTCGAACTTTGAGAATTTTTTGTGCAAGTTAGTTTTACCCTGTTGTTTATCGCAGATTGTTTTTAACCGCTCATGAACATACCTGACACTGTTGATGCCAATCTTCCATATCTCTACAGTCTTCAATGCTTTTCTGGACCTTCGTGGAGAAAACATTAAAATTCCTGAGGTTTTTGAGGCAAAAGAAATCAAGTGGATGAGGATTTTATATAGGTGCAGACTAACAAAGTGGATAGCGTTTCAGGTGCACTCAGATTGGCTACTCAAGATCCGAATATCCTTTGCTTTTCGACTCCAAGCAATTCGCACGGGATTTGTACCCGAAACTATTGCAATATTTGGAGGAACAAGGGAGTTAAACTCATATTTTTGTGCTTTATTATCTCACTGTTTTAATGGATATATTTTTTAAAAAATATTCACCTCAGTATCGGTGGCTAGCGTTGGATATTCACCTCGTCGCTTAGCAGCTCGGTAAATATCTACCACTGGCCACCTTCACTTCGGTGAATAATTGTTAATAATTAAATTTTAAATTCCAGATATTGCATTTCTAGTGTTCTGATTGGTTCGATCAACTTCGGTTATCAGTTCATAAACCGAATCACCTTATATGGACATCTATTCAGCCAAGTGTTTTTAAATTTTAGAGTTAGAACAAATTCACTAAGCTCCCATAGTATTGAAAAAAGGCGGGAATTAAAAAACGCGCCTTGTTGGCTATTTCTCATCTCACATCCAACGCGCGCTCGTGGAATAATCGTTAATTATTTCAACCCTCCGTCGCAATCTGCTTCCAATTCAAGACCACCAGGTTAGTAAAGTTGTCGAAAACGTGAAAAAGCTCTATCACACTTCCTTATAAGTGTCACTCCATTTAGCGATTTTACTACAACGCTTCGGTTAACTCCCTCTCACTTATTCGAAAGAAACACACACTGAACGTCCTGTTGTAAGCACGTGGAACAATGCCATATATGGAGAGATAAAACACGTGCCGCATACATGTTTGTTTGGTTAGGTAAAGATAAACGAAATCACTTATAAATGTCAACCAAATTAAGAATAACTAACGTATCTTTCAGTTTCCAACAAAGTGTAGAGACATCAGGTTATAAGCCACGAGGAATGATAATAGATTAGCCATATTTGTAGAAAAAGACAAGCTAAATTGAGACTTATAATCGCTAACGCTCCAAGCTCATTGCGAGAATAGACTACGTGTTAAACACATCGCGCAATACCAAAGATGGCATCAAGCCTAAAGATTTGTATGGGATTTTCACAACAAGATTATTACGCGCAAAATTTCTCAATAAAAAGCCTCATCTTATTTTCACTGGCTCGTACTTTTTGCCTGTGTCCTTGTTTTCGCCAACTATTTTTCCTCTCATAATGAAATAGCGTGACCTATTCTCACATGATCGCCAACCTAACAAAACTATTGATTGATATACGAATTCTCTTTGTCAGTACCGAAATAATTTTTTAGGAAAGAGTATAGAGAATATGGCTATTGATATTAGGGTGTGGAGGATCAATAACCTTTGGTCCCAGTTAAAACAACCCCCGTCCAGGAAACCGTTCCAACATACCTTGACCAGTTCATTTCTTAAATGTTCCCACATTTTAAAAATTCCACAAGCATTGGTCCAGTTGTGATTTATAGATATAGTGTCCTCCTTAAAAGTAAGAAACCATATGCATCCCAATTAGTATAGGTAACAACATGATTTTGAGTGCAATTTGGTGTTACTAGGCATGAGAAAATTTTCCAAGACAACAAAATTGCACAAGATGTTAGGGTGAGTGCATTTTGTAGTTTCTGAAAAAATTAACATTTCTTATTTACATCAAACTGCTCACAAAATCATGTCAATTCTTATTAATAATTCACCTGAAAAAAAATTACAGAATTGAGACTGATGAAATTTTGACATCGCACATGCTACTTGTAATTTACACTTGTGTCACAATTTTGCTCTCATGTTACAACTTGAACTTGTTTTACATGAAAAATACACTCATTTTCAGCCAATCAGAAGAGTGCGAGTTTTTCATGTATATTATTAAAAAGTATAAATATGAAATGCATGATAATGTTCATGGTTTGATATTTTAACCCTTTAACTCCCATGAGTGACCAAGACAGAATTTCTCCTTACAATACCAATACAATATCAACCAGATAAGTGATGAGAATAAAGAAAAATATCAATTAAGGGATAATTAGTTGATCCAATACTAAATTCTCTGAACTGACATTATAAAAATTGTACGGTTGACAGGAAGGAGACTTACAAATTTGATCTGGGAGTTTAAGGGTTAAAGGGTGACTTAACCTTTTCAAAATTTCCCTAAAGTATGCTAAACCTTCAACTACAGACTATGGATTCATGAAAAAAAAACATTTTGGATTTACTTAGGTACTGACACTAAATGAGATTTAGTGTTACTTACCAAGTTTATTACTTGATGGTGCCATCCACTGAAAAAGTAACAATTTAACCTTTTAACTCCCAAAGGTTATTAACATTTAACCTTTCCATACAATATAAATATTTTTTTCCAGTATACAGGTAGTGAGAAAACTCAAACTTACCAGGTAGGGTTTTTATCTTGATCTAACACTAAAGTCTTCTAACTTATTTTTCAAGGAAATGTGTAGCAGCAAGAGGGGAGTGTTATCATTCAGATCTTGGGTGTTAAAGGGTTAAGTTCAGCAACCTTACACCATGTGTGATAGACTACTTGAACCCACTGTTTTCTCAAAAATCTGACCAAGGTTAAGTCTGTGTATTATGCACAAAAGAGCAGTAAGGGAAGGACTGTAAAAAAAAAAAAAAAACCTCTGAAACTACTAAGCTGAGAATGACAAGGCAAAATGTGCTGTTTTAAGTACTAGCAACAATGAAATTGGGGAGTAAAAATGATTTCTTAAAAAATACCTTAAATGAAAAAGTTCCCCTCCCTATTATAGCTTTTTTTGTGGTGGATTCATCTTGTTCTTTGCCTAAAATTAAGCAAGGCCACAATAAAGCAATTTAAGGCAATATTCCAGCAATACCTTGGCACAAAGATGATCTCTCCCTCTCTTTGTACCACTGTAAGTGGCTTTACAGCACTATCAAATTCTGGAAATTGGCATCTGTCACTCATATCATCAGATGTGATGTCATATGCCAGGTTACCTAGTCTATCATTCAAATATTTCTCTTGACCAGGAGGGTAAATCAGCCATTTTTTGCATCCACATATATTGGCAGACCAACTGTATGACCTTAAAACAAAGCATAATTAACATTAACTTTTTAAAGTCTTAAATAACTAGTTGACACATATTCCTTCCTTGTGTATTTAACTCTTTTACTCCTGAGAGAGTCAGAAGAGTGACTAGCACCTAATTTCTCCATACATGTCCATAAATACACCCAAACCACTATGATTTGTCTACGGTTGTTGACAAATCAACACACCAAAGGTCAAACCATGCATTAACATACCGGAAGTGGAGAGTGGTAAGCAATGTGTGAAAATGAGTAGCATGGTATACCAGAAGTCGAATCATGCATTAACATACTGGAAGTCAAAGGGCATGAGCAATGTGTGAATATGAGTTGCATGAAAAGACAAAATGACAACATGAACCAAGTGAAACGCCAACTGTTCATAGATGAAGCATACCTGAAGACATCTGCGTGAAAAGGAGTCCTGAAAACATCAACAAAAACAAAAATAAGCAAGTATAATTACCCATCAACAACTACATTGTTAAGTGGAGGTTTGGTGCATGAGATTTCCAGGAGCTTCCACTATTGGCAGCTAGCTCCTAAATGGAGACTGCTCCCATGGCTGGCAAATCCTGGCAACCCAGCTATGAGCCCCCATACTGGAAAGGGCAACAGACACCCAACACACTGATAAAGCAGTGTAAACAGGGAGGGAAGGGGTGAGGAAAACTGCCCAGATGATGAGCTGCCACTCCAAACAACACTGAAAGTTCACACTCATAGTAAACGCAAGAATGCTTCAAATAAGGAGCAACTGGAATTCCAACACATGCGCATGTGTAAAAAAAAAAAGGCTGATTGCAAGAGAATGCTGAATGGATGCTCTTTGTTGTTAACTCCCTTAAATTGCTCTTAACTGCATTTAAAACCTCAGTTCCCAAGTCACCTTGTGCGACTCTTACTTCGTGCTTCGCAATCTCCTGCGTGCATCCATAACTCAATGGTTGCATGCCGTTGCTTACCATTTCTTAATTTGCCTGAGTCATTTCTCGCTTAACACTGTTCGTCTACTTTTGTTATTTTCTTGCTAAAATCTCTAAACGAAAAGTCAATGTCAAGCATATCACCTCACCAGCTGCCTTTAGGACCCATGTATACAAAGCGGTAGTCATCAGACACATCAGAACGCTTGTCCCAGAACTCATTCAACCAATCAGATTTAAAATAGACTGGTGTTTCATAGGCCTTGTATGATGGAAAAGCCCTGTCATATAAACCATTATAAAAAGAACATTCAGCAAAAGATTTCTTGAAAAAGGCTTTTTTTACCCCTTGTCAAAGTCCATCTCGGACTTTTCCTAAGATCTGTACCCTTACAACAACAAAACCGACAATAACTGATAAGAAAATAAGCTATTTCATCCAACATGACATCCAGTTTTTAATTTTTTTTGTGAGTTTATTATACATAGAGTGAGTGAAAGCCTACAAAAAATATTTAAATCTGAAAAGAAAATAACTCTTGATCTCCAATGACTAACTAAAAGGACAATTTTTTTTACTCAAAATATTACAATATTAATGATACAGACAGCGAAATGTGAATAGACTTACTTACAAAAGTGCCAGTCTTTAAGATAGAGTATTTGACTGGAGTCATCGCCACCTATTGATTACAACAAAAATACAGATGCACTCCATTGGAATTGCAAAGAGTGTAAACAAAGGTATTTAATCACACACAAAAAAAATGTGCTTTTACTTCCAACTCAATAAAGTTATTAAGATTCAAATTGTGTCCTCTTCAAAAATACAGAAACTTGTATAACTGAAACACTACTCTTCAGTTTTAATTCCTAAATACCGAAATAAGAGGTTGGTATCAGAACTGTAAGATTTTCAAGCCATATCATGACAGCTGATTTAAAAAATAAGCAATGAAAAAACTCAATGCCCCCCTCACTTAGAGACCTTTTTTGTCTAGCATCAAAAAGTATACTCTCATGGGAACGTCATGTCTCGTATTCAACAATTAAAATGGCAGAGTATACCTTCCGATCTGTTTTTCCAATAGTCACAAAACTCTTTCACTGGCATCTCTTCCTTGACTTGACTGCCATATTTTTCTTGACAACAGTTAGCGACAGGTGCTACAGCATGGCCTACAGTACAAAACACATAACCAATAAGTGGTAATTAGCCATCTGGATGAGTTTAGTGCCTGCAAAACAGAGCAATGTTATTTTTTTAGACTTTTAAGGTAAGTGAAGGTATGAACAATTTAGATGTTAAACACTGAGTGCACCCTCTGTCATCAAAAGCTCTAGGCTGTAAAAAAGGATGCCCTGAAATAGAGAAAAAAAAAACCCTCTACAGATACACTTAAGTTGTTCACATACTCTCTTCAAAAACTTTAACAGTCACACCTAAGATCATGTAGTTTTCCACAGCGCCCCAGCACCATTGGGCAACAAGGAAGGTAAGAAAGAACAGGCAAAGGGGGAGGGGAGGGGGGAGGGGGGAGGGGAGGAGGAAGGGAGAGGGGGAGGCATAGAAGAGGGATTAGGAGGGTAGGAGTACTTGTGGGATTAGTATGTCCTGATGATTTAGAAAAACAGAAAAATCTGGTACAAAAGCCGGTTCACTTCTCTGAGATGTTGAGCTAACATCAATATAAGAGCTGAATTACCAAATTCTTTCATGAAAAAGCCAAAATTTGGCCTCCCGTTTATGACCCATTCCTTCCGACTTCTCCAATGTTTGGTAAGCTCGCTAGAAAAAATGCAGAGCTGATTGGCCTCCATATAATCTCTAAAAAACTCCTCGTACTTTAAATCACTCAGACGCTTTAATTCATCCATGACGTCGTCTTCCTGAAGGCCTACCTCTAAAACCTCTGCGCCATCCCATTTTGCGCATAGTTTTATTACTGAGTTTGCTGTACTGTTTTGCTCTCACTGCAGCCTCTTCTCCACATAATGACGTCACCAAGATGGAGGGTTGTCCACGGTCTTTAATGTTAAATGTGGACTTAAAAGAGAGCTTTCCTACGGAATTTACCCCACCATTGAAAACGGTACCATGAGATAAATGTATTTAATTTATTTAAAGCTATTTTTGTGGTTTAAATCTGCTAACGTCGGGCTTATCTTTAGTATATTCGAGACCACTACAACGAAGATGCGGACTCGTACAAGAATGAATGCTCTCAGTTGGAACAACTTCGAACGGTGAGCTTTTTTTTTATAACCCCCCTCCTACTTATTTTGATGCTTCGGCGATTAACTGAGTTTATTTAGCAACATCTGATCTCTGTTAGGTAAGTAGGTATACAGCTACAGAAATGTATATGTACGTGTATTTTTTACGTCAAATTTGCGCTTCAGTGACAGTTTTGAATTTCTAGCTTAATACGTGCTTGTTATTTGTTTCAAACAGAAATTGTGTAAACGTTAACGCTCTGATGATTATTTTCAGTATCATTTTTACTTCTCTATGCTTTTTCGGTTGATAGATCGATTCAGCCCGAATTTTCGTTCTTTCTTGTTGAAGTTTGCAATTATAAAAATTACATGTATATTTCGAATTCTCTATTTTAAGAACGTAATTTACGACTATTACACAGATGACATAATATTCGTAACTATGTTATCGTTGAGTGTTGAAGTTACTTAGCACTAATTATGGCAACAATTTTTGACCTCGTCAATATGTCTCGAATAATTTGAAACTCCCTAGGAAATGATTGTCATAACAAAGTGCGCGAATTGAGACTTTTTTTTAACTTGTCTTCGTTTTGGTCATGTATTTTTTTTTATGATAGCAAACACGCAGAAGCATGATAATACACACGTGTTTATGAGCAATCACTGTAATTTGGTCAGATTTCCTTGAGAGGATATAAGTTGCAGTATGCTTTGGAAATCGTCACAAATTTTTGGACAACTTCCTTGGTCAGAATATCAAGCATCAATTCTCAAGTCTCTGCTTTTTTATCTGTCACTTCGATTTATGATTTAAAGTAAGATAATTCACACTGTCTTTGTATTGGAATGATCCTATCAAGCATCAGATTTTCATTTTATAAATGATGTTAAACATATTACGTTTTTGGATTCTGCATATTATATAATATGGAAGCATTATTGACTGAGCTTGTCTGGTCAAGATACATGAAGATGGATATTGGTTACTTTGCATTTGTATTGTCTAGGTCCATGAAAATGCAAAACAAGGAACAAGGTTAATATTTAGCCATCTTGACCGAACAAGCATGATCAACAATGGATTTATTTTGAATCAAATAGATTTTGCTTTAATAGGAATCAAGAATGAAGCGAGAGCCCGTATCAAAAGCTAGCTGCATTTGTAGCACAACAAGCTTATCAAAGTTGTTTATGTTGTCCTTGTTTTGACTGTCTTCTGCTTTATGTAACTTCATTGCTGAAATTGTCTTAAAATGAGGACATTTTTTAAGTCTGCTTCAAGAGCATGCAACTTTTTTTCTCAATGTGGCAATCCTGCTCAGTTACTCAATCAGAACACAGGATTTGCTTTTAATAGCCCAAAGGTGTTGCCAGCTATTTGATACAATGAAATTTAAGATTGCGGTCTGTCAGGATCAACTGTTTCAATGGTGTTTAGTATTAGGTTGCGAGGAAAAACTAGAGCAGTCAATACTCATTCTTTTTCAACTGTTTTAACTAATTTGATGGTGATTGAAAGAGCTTATAAATCAAATCAACTGAACAAGGGTTTTAGCAATAGAACATGGAAAAACTGAAATCAACCCAGAACAGTTGATCAACATAGAACATAGAAAGATATTGGTTGTAGGATACCCCAGGAAATTTCTTGTTATATTGTTACAGACAGCATTGATTGACCATGTTGTTTTTATTTTTAACTAGGCCTCTCTTCGGCCATCACATGATCACTCAGGGTGCAGTACACTGCGGCGGTATTATGCTCAGCTGCAATTTTTACAATCCAGATTTCCATTGGGTGAAGGAGGAGCAGTTAATGTGCAGTTTACATGGTGTGTACATGTACTTGTTTAAAATTAAAATTAAAATTCTTTCAAACTACTTGTAAATATATTGGGGTATAATTTGTAAACATTTTGTTCAGGAAGTTAACTCAATTGCAACTCAGATAAATTACATATGCATTCTTTCATACTCGACGTGAGCCTTGAGAATCGAGGATTGAGGAAGGAGTTTCAAGGAACTATCTACTTACAATTGAATAGTACTGTAATTGTAAAACTCATTCAAAATAATTTTAAACCTTTGGTTAACCCTTTAACTCCCAAGATTTCATGAGTAATTCTCCTTACAGTTTGCCATACAATTTATGTGATGTTAGTTTGGAGAATTTGGAATTGCATCAACCAATAATCCCAAAGTTGATATTTTTCATTATTCTCATTACTTGTCTTCTTGATATTGTACTAATAATGTAACAAGAAATTCTGTCTAGGTCACTAGTGGAACTTAAAGGGTTAAATTTAAACTACAATATATGCCTTTTTTTCAATTCCCATATTTGTTGGTTTATATGCCTTGTTGCTGAACCATTTGCAAAGGGAACATGTTATGGTATACAGTGTTCAAATATTTCTGATATTTATAAAAAATCTCCAAAGGCTTAACTCAAACCTCTCCATTTGTTTTTCACTACACTCAAGGAACAGCAATTTCAAAATCTCGTTCAAAATGGGTACACCTGTTATTGTGGAGTACTAATGCTTTGAAAATGGTTGTCTATAAATATTTATTAATATTAGTATGAGTATTATTATTAGTAGAATCATCATTGATTATTTTTTGTTGTTGTTATTATTACTAAATGACTGACAAAGTTCAAATTTCTTATTTTAATGAATTTGTTTTGAAAGGACTGATCTCTATTCAGAGGAACCAATCTCATTGTCTGATATAAGATTTGAACAAGCAGCCATTCTTCATAACTTAGGTAAGACTCATTGTTAGTACTGTACATCCTAACAACTTCCAAGTTATTACTGTGAGTAACAGTTATCATTCAATAATGGTGACAGAATCTCTCAGTGTTTATAGGATTAGATATCATATTGCCCCTCTGGTATCTTTGCAGGGTAGTTTCAATTAATGTTTTAGACAATTCATTTACAACATTTTAATGTTTATGTGATATACTAGAGAGACAATTATGGATAGTAAAACTACTATGTTACATTCTCCATGACATTTAGACATTAAACATACAGTTTATTGTTTATGTGATATACTAGAGAGACAATTATGGATAGTAAAACTACTATTTTACATTCTCCATGACATACTATAGACTATTAAACATACAGTACTCTCATAAAAGAAGACATCCTTTCTTTGCAGCTGCTCTACACTCTCAGCTAGGATGCCAAGAGGACAGAACAGCAGAGGAGGTTTGTTTAGTTCTGATTGTTAGTCTATTTCTATTTCTGTTTGCAGGATAATGTATGGATATTTTAGGGAGAAGTTCCATGTTAATCACTTCTGGGAGTTAAAGGGTTAATTTTTTAAACTGCAGTATTCAAAGAATTTGCAACCTTGAGAACAGCTGTTAACCCTTTGCACCCTAACATCAGTACCCATACTTTTCTCATACACTTCCTTTGTTATTGACAAGGGGAATTCGTTCAACAATCAAAACTACTTAAGATGATGACCATTTCCTTTATTCTGATGATCTTGATGAATGATTCAGCAGTTTTACTGTAAGGAGGAATTAGATGCAAGTCACCCTTAGGGTTTTTAGGTGTTGAAGCACTCATGCAAAACTGTGACAATTCTCTGAGTGTGTCTAATATCACCAATCAGCTGCTGACGTGTCACTCACCTTTTTCTATTTCTACAAGCAACCATGTATTATTCTCCGTTTAATTATTGTCGTCAAGAATATATGTCTCATTTGACGTTTTGGTGTGTTGTATTATCAATTTTTTTAATGAGTTGTGCTGTATTTTGACAAACTCACAGTATTAATGATATGTATTTATTTTATTATTTTTCAGGGCATGAAAGTAGCATGCACTCATTTCCAAGCTGCTGCTGGAATTTTTCAGTTCCTCAAGGTAAATTCCCAAGTTTAAGGTTAATTATAGTTACACTTAAATTCCTTCCTCTACATTAACCCTTTTAATCCCAAGATCTTATTAGAAGTTCTCCTTACTGTCTGCCATACAATTCTTATAATGTTAGCTCTGAGAATTTGGTACTGAATCAACTAATAATCCCCAAGCTGATATTTTTCTTAATTCTCATCACTTGTCCGTTTGATATTGTATTGATTTGGTAAGGAGAAATTCTGTCTTGGTCATTTATGGGAGTTAAAGGGTTAATATGATATAGGTAATCTTACATGCTGTTCTTGTTGTCATGCTTTATCAAGGCCCCATCTGAGTCCAATTTGATATCTTTTGATTAATGGTTCTAATATCACCAGCTAATCTGGTTATGTTGTGTAGACTTATTTGAAATGAAACAGTGATATTTAACCCTTTAACTGGTAGAAGTGACTAACATGTAACTTCTCCCTGTAACATTCGTATGTTATCGAGCAAAACAATATGAGAAAACTCAAACATATCAAGTAGAAGTTGTTATCTTGAGCTAACATCACATTCCTGTAAGTATTTTACAAGGAAACGTGTAGCAGATAGTGGGGAGAATTATCAATTAGATCTTGGGAGTAACAAGGTCAAAAGTGAACCTAGTGAACAAAAGCATAATTATCAAGCTTTTTTTTTTTCTTTTTCTAAAAAGGAAACCCCATGAACTTCCCAAAAAGTGATGAATGATGATAATGTATCTTCCTAGCAATATTAACACACATCAAAGTATCAGCTAGAATGTGGTATCTTGATACAAAACAAAT